AATGGTAAATGCATTGATGTTTTGGAGCTATTCAGCATTACATCACGTTTATAAATGGATCATCTGCAGTGAATGGGTGCCGTCAGAATGAAAGTTCAAAGAGCTGATAAAAACATCACAATAATCAAGTAACTCAACTCCAGTCTATCAATTAACATCTTGTGAAAAACTGTTTTGATTTTTTTTTTACTTTAAAAAACCGTCCAGTGAGGTTTACCTGCACAGCACTTACCAGTTGGCCTCCATTACACTCACCCCCCCCCCCAAGCCTCACTCCCATCTAGGTCATGGTGCCAATGTAACACCTCCGGTCCCAACCGCCCCGCTCCGAGCAGAACTTAAACCTGGGCATGAAAGGTGTGTGCACTAACAAGAATGCTAAAGACCGCAGCCTCTAGCATCAGTCACTAGTGCGCCGCTTGAGATCAGGGGAGTGAGGTTTACCTGCACAGCTCTTACCAGCTGGCCACCGTTACACTTGAAGTTAAAAAAACATCTTGAAAAATGTGCTTCTTACAAACAAAGCTTTTTGCTTCAAGACATTAATTGATCAACTGGAGTCATGTGGATTATTGTGATGTTTTTATCAGCTGTTTGAACTCTCATTCTGACGGCACCCATTCACTGCAGAGGATCCATTGGTGAGCAAATTATGTAGTGCTTAAATTTCACCAAATCTGATAAAGAAACAAACTAATCTACATCTTGGATGATCTGAGGTTGAGTAAATTTTCAGCAAATGTTTATTTTTGGGTGAACTGTTCCTTTAAGAACTAAATTTTTTGCAAGAAGATGCTTATGTTTTGCACATATTTTATAGTACTCCACAACTGATTTTTGTTTTGTGTTGTGGTGTTCTCTATAACAAAAGGTATTGATATTCACTATGTTCACGTGAAACCAAAGAGCCTGGCTGAGGGAACCCATGCTGTGCCTCTGATGATGGTACATGGATGGCCAGGCTCCTTCTATGAATTTTATGGTATCATCCCCCTGCTTACGGAGCCATCCAGTCCTGATGACATTACTTTCGAAATCATTTGTCCCTCAATACCTGGTTATGGTTTCTCAGAGGCCCCACATAAAAAAGGTAAAGGTCAAACAACCCAACCTAACAGATATTTTGTTTCAAACACATGTGGATTAGTCTATTAAATATTTTCCATGTTTTGCATTTTTTTAATGATCAAAATGTGTTTTGCACAGGTTTTGACGGTGTATGTGCAGCACACATATTCAATAAACTGATGAAGAGGCTTGGTTTCAATCAGTACTATGTCCAGGGAGGAGACTGGGGCTCGCTTATTACCACTAATATGGCCCAGCTGGAGCCCAAGTATGTATAAAAGTAGTGGTTCTTGACCTTTTTTACTCCAAGGCCCCACTTTATCCAAAACATTTAAGTCCCCCTGGGAAGTTCATGTTTACAAGTTGGGATGTAATTACAATATTAGATACATTCAGTTTGGAGAAAAATGGCATTATAGCTTTTCTACAAAAAAAAAATATATATTTTCTATAAATTAAAAAAAATTAACTCTAATTCTACAAAATGATGAATAAGGAATGCACAGCTGGTTTGTTTTTGATTTATGTTTTTATTAAATTTATGAAGCTATAATTGCGTAATACCGAAGTATTTTGAGTGCGAATATTAGATAATTTTATTGTAAATAGAATAGAAAACAAATGCATTAATTTCAACCAATTTGCCATCAATACAGTTGTTGCATCTATTGCGTTCCTCATATTTTCTCACTGACCTGCACTCTACTCGGAAACTCTGGGCTTAAAGATAGTTCCGACACTCCGGTGGTGTTCATGTGGGTTCAATCTTTTCAACATGACTTGAATGCACTAAAGATTTGAAGACCCTTTTAAAGCTGATATTTACCTTTGGCACTTAATATAGGGCTGGGCGATATGATGATATTATCGTATATCGACGATGTCTCATAAGTAGCCTATTGCGATGTCGATGTCAACAGTTTGGTAACAGAAGATTATCAACATTATTGGAAAAAAATTACAAATGATAAACCTAGTAAGTTGCAAAAAATATTTTACACAGCCCCATAGTCACCATACAGGTCTTTTTGCATGCAAGAATGAAATAATTTAGTCGGAGGGTTGGGAATCGAAAAGCTATTCCAATTTCGGAAATCAGATCAGATGCGTAAGTTCAGGAATCAAATTACTTGTTATAAAATTACATTTCGATTCTGCTTCTCGACTTCTGTATGCACATTTATTGTGATTTCAAAAGATTCAATTGCAAGAAGACGAAATAGAGCTCACTTCTGCACTCGCGAGGTGGAGGTGGGGCTTAAGTAGACGATATTATCGGAGATCGCGATATTTTAAAAGCAATTATCGATACGATATTTTTGATATATCGCCCAGCCCAAATTGAATAAAAAATAAATGAACTCAGAAATATGAATGTTATACATTTTTATTAATTAATTTGTTTTTGTTTGTTTTTAAGAATTGTAAAATTAATTAAATTAAAAAAAAATTTAAATAACTATATTTAAATCATTTTAAGAGTTATTGGGGCCCCTGGTTGAGAACCACTGTATTCTAGTATTTCATCACATTGAAATCCTCAGATAGAAGTAAATTAAAGTCAGCAATATTAAAGGAAGATAATGTGTATAGAAATAAACAGATTTCAAGTACTTGAGCGATTTTAAGGATTTTTGTTGTACATCTTTGTTTTCCTCAGTGCTGTGAAAGGCCTCCACATTAACTTTGCTCTTCCAGGAAAAGCAGGCCTTCTCATGATGTTGTCTATACTTTTTGGTCGCCGATTTCCCAAACTCTTTGGCTTCACCGAGCATGATGTGAAACGCCTTTTCCCCACTATGGAAAAGCTTGTAGTTGACGCAATAAGGGAGACTGGATACATGCACATACAGTCCACTAAACCTGACACTGCAGGTGAGAGACATGTGTGCATCTTTAAATAGACAAGACTTTGATTTGAAGCTTGACTGTATTGCACAGGCCGTGGATTGAATGACTCTCCCGTTGGTTTGGCTGCCTACATTTTGGAGAAATTTTCAACCTGGACTGATCCTGAATTCAAGAACCTTGAGGATGGTGGACTGGAAAGGTAGTCATAATTGATTTCAGCTTTATTATAGGTTGGTGAAGTGTGTGTTCAGTTAAATCATGTCGATTCCCCAACAGGAAGTTTTCTCTTGATGATCTTCTGACGAATGTGATGATCTACTGGACCTCTAGGTCCATTATATCCTCCATGCGTTTCTACAAGGAGAACTTCAGCAAAGGCCTGAATCAGCCCCATGCAAAGTAAGAGAAATACAGGCTTTGATTAACATTACGTGAAGCTGTATTTTCTGTTCAGTACTCATCAGTATTGTGTTCCCTTAAGTATTTAGAGACATTTGGGCACTGAAATTGGGGCTGTGTGTAAATATGTGCACTACTGTCTGGGATTGGAAAATCATTTTGATGTATTTTGAAAGTAGTTATTTTGTTCTCATCAAGGATGCATTTATTTGATGAACAATAAATTAGAAACTGTAATATTGTAAATTTAATGCAATGCAAGTGAATGCATTAACATCTGGAGTAAAAAAAAAATTAAAATTCTTACTGACCCCAAATTACAATGCAAAATCGCTACACTAGTATGCTGTGTCTCTTTTTACCCAATAGGCTTCCAGTTTATGTTCCGTCAGGTGTGGCCTCTTTCCCCAATGAGCTGATGCACTCCCCTAAATCGTGGGTGACACAGAAATACCATAAGCTCAAGACTTACACTCCCATGGCTCGCGGGGGGCATTTTGCTGCTATGGAGGAGCCACAGTTACTGGCAGAGGATGTTCAGAGCTTTGTCAAGATTGTGGAAAAGAGAAAGAAGAAATAAATAGTTATCTGTCCTTTTTTTTCATATTCATGGGCTAATGGAACTCACGGTTTAGATGCGTAGATAAATGCATCTAAACAGAGATGACCATGAAGTAAAAAACAACAGATGGCTAATCCTAATCATTACTGTGTCAAAAACTATTATAAACAAATGTATTCCATTCATTTTTAGGTAATAGCACTGTTTAATCCTAGGAATATATTAACACAATTTTATATTTGCAGCATGTGCCTTAGTTTTATTGCAATTTAAATGATTATATAATGACAGGAGCTTGCTTTAGACATATTTCACTGATTTTGATTGCTCACAGGGGAAATGCATTCTGAATTAAGACATTCTTAGGGCAAAAAGAAATGATCAGTGGAACCATTCAGATGCAATATTTAGTCTGTAAATGCAAGTGCTCTGTACTATTAAGTTTTAAATAGTTTTAAAGCATTTTGCACACATAATTCAAGTAATTTCAGGTATGACAGAATGCAACTCTACATGCAATCGATCCAATCTGACATACGGATATTACGACACTAATCATGTAAAAAAAAAAGTATTTTACACAATGAATATAGTGACAGAACTTATGAGAAATCAAGCTCTCTTTACATTTTACGATAAAGGGATGATCTGTGTTGGACCCTTTGATTGGAATGTTACTAAAGTTACTAAAATCCAAACTAACTCCTTATTTCCTTACCTGAACGTAAACATTATTCTAATAGATTGAACTGGATTCATTATTAAAAAAATAATGTCACTGCAGGTTAAAGATTGACTGAACATTAAACTCATATCTGCTCCATTGCAGACGCTTCACAGCAACTAAGTTACTATTCCCTGTCTAGTTTTTAATCGAATACTGTTAGGTAGGCTAAAAATGTATGTCATAATTCATTGCTGTCAATATAGGCATGAAGCTCATATGAAATGTGGAGTGATCATCACTCAATTAAAAGTAAAACCCTTGGGGCCCGTTTACACAGGATGTGTACTTGTATTCAAAAATTCACAGCGATTGCAATGGAAAGGAAGGCGTATCGAGATCCATTTGAAAAGCTTGTTTAACATGAAGTAGCGTCCTAAAAATATAGTGTTCATTGTGTGAGATGCTAAAAAAGTACAGATGGACAAAAAGTGGCTTAAAAACGAAAATAGCATTACAAAATCGATCTGAATGAGAAGTGAACGAGTGAGAAGTGGCGCAGCGATAAAAGTGAGTCTTGCATTTAAAATCACAAACATTTTAAAGCTTGTATTTGAACTTATTTTTAAACTGTAAAAAAAGCATCGCTCATGAAGTGGGATGCTGAAAAATCAATGAGATGTGGCGCAACAGTGCGTTTACTTTGGAAAATAATTTGAAAAACACACCACAGTGGAATGCAAAAAATGCATTCTGTGTGAACCGAAGACTTCTGTTTCCACACGTGACAAACATGATTCTAAATAGGATGATTCTTTTGAGACAAATGTTAAACTGAAACCTGCCACCAGACCAAAATGATACACCCACAATAATGACCCCCCCCTCACAAAAAAAAACACCAATGGATGAGAGACTTCAACAAACTGTTGACCCAGAGTGCATAACCTGAAAATATATCCGACTGCCTGTGCTTGTGAGATTGTGACAGGTTCAGAGAAAGCTTTCATTCCAGTCATAGGCACAATACAAGGACCTAGGAATCCTACAGCAACTAAAAATGGTATGGCTTAGACTGAGGTATGAATTTAGACTAGACAGCAAAGCACAGAAAATGCCATTATAACATCAAAAAACGATTCAAATTACAAGAAAACGAGTGCAACCAAATCAATCCATATGCTAATACTGAGAATTATGGTCAGTAACACACTAAGGTTTCAATTCTGTGCCGTTAATCTTGATACTATAACACATATCTTTACTTCTATATCTAAGATCAAATATTTGAATAAGCTATTATAACATTTAAAGAACTTAAACATGATGAAGAACATTTCTAACATGACCGTTTGGTAAATAATCATCCATACCAAAATAATATTTAATACAGGCAAATTTTAAACTTTTTCTGAGATGCTTAAATATAGTTAGCAAGGCTCTTACAATTCAAAGCATCATGGGAATTCAACAGTGAGGTGTCCAGATCCTTAAAAATGGTCCTATCAAGGTCAGGACCATTTGGGCATTTGGGCTAGGCGAAGAAACGGCAAACTAAAGCAACGATTAAGTCAAAAAACTACGTCATACATTCATATGAGGAGGCACTTGTCACAAACAATGGGCTTCAATGAGGGAACTAGAGATTCAACATGCATTAGATTCACTGTATCTATCACAACATGAGACTTCTTCATGTCAGATGGTCTTTTCATGAATGTCAAGCTAAAAGTTTACTACGTTTACATTTGCAATCTTAGCAAGTCTTCATTCGCTGTAAACCTTTAACTCAGTTTAGGGAACAATGTAGTGAGGCTAACGTAGTGAACTTTGGACAAAACAAAATTGTTGGGAGAGAACAACCCCAAAACTCGAATGGCATTATTAAGTCAAAAAACTACGTCATACATTCATATGAGGAGGCACTTGTCACAAACAATGGGCTTCAATGAGGGAACTAGAGATTCAACATGCATTAGATTCACTGTATCTATCACAACATGAGACTTCTTCATGTCAGATGGTCTTTTCATGAATGTCAAGCTAAAAGTTTACTACGTTTACATTTGCAATCTTAGCAAGTCTTCATTCGCTGTAAACCTTTAACTCAGTTTAGGGAACAATGTAGTGAGGCTAACGTAGTGAACTTTGGACAAAACAAAATTGTTGGGAGAGAACAACCCCAAAACTCGAATGGCATTATACGACTATAGATTTGTGCAAACTGAGTTCTTTCTGTTGATAAACTATCCATAAACCTGACGTTCAGCATGATTTCTTTTGATTTGTGCGTGTACGTATATCCCGAACCAGCAATATTCAACTAAGTATTCTTGAGATTCAGTTTAGGTCATGTAAACTAAAAGGTTTAGGTGATCACTTGTATCGCTCAATACATCTCAAATCATTCAAGAGAACATAATACAATTTTTATGACATAGACCACTGACATCAGAAAGTACCACATATAAACGAGACAACCCTCGCCTCCATCACTGGCAGTTGAGGGCACAGCGTGCAAAGGGTAATATTGCAAAGGGCCCACAATACAAACCACAACTTATGGACTTAACATTCTTACCAAATTCAAGAGGAGAAAACAGTGAGATTGTGAATTTGCACGCTGTTTTGGCATCGTAACTGACGTCCTGTGGGAAACTAAGACGCTTTAGGACTGTCGCTGTGTGGGACATTTCACAAGGCTGTTTCTTGCACCGTATGGGCCAGGTTACAAGTAGGCTGGGCGGTTTTCTGTTCTCCTTCCTCTTCCCTGAGCTCGTCATCCTCTTTAGTGTAGGCAACGCCATTGCTCTCTTTCTGGGCCATCTGGTAAGGCTGAAGGTCCATGACTTTAGGCTATAGCATAGGCACAGACATACATAACCGTTCATAATAGAAGAAGGAATGCGGTATTTGAAACTGGTGATTTTGATTCGTGTATTTTGATTCGTGAGTGAAGCTCAGCTGAGCATTTAAGTGAGTTACCTTGTCATCCAGTGGGGTAACACAGCAGAGTTTCTCCCTGTAGCGTTGGGGCAGAAAGAACAGCAAATTGCCAAGCACAGGGTAAATCGTACCTGGGTTTAAATCTTTCTCCTTCGAGGGCCCTGAGTGTACACAAAACAGGGGAAAAAACATTGTTGCAGTCTAATAATCAATGTTGTTATTGTTAACTAATACTAAAAGTACTAAATACTAAAACTATTATAATTAGCTTTTGGTCATTTAACTGAAATAATACTATAAATATTAGATGAAAAACGAAAATAAAAATGAATGTGTAAATAATACATACTATAATAGTATATTAATAATACTAAAACAAAGCTGCTAATAATGTCATTGTATAACCTACACCAAGGACTTTCAAACTTTTGAGTGATTTTTAGTGCCCTTACATAAAGCTGTTACTAAAATATATCATATATTTTTTTGCGGGTCAATTCTCTTTTAAATGATTAGCTTCTATATGTCATTGTATATGTCATCACTTTTGTTTTATTATTCCAAAACAACTTGATTCAACTAGATTTTCTACTCTATGCATATACAGTACAGTGCCTTGCGAAAGTATTCATACTTTTGTTATGTTGCTGCCTTATGTTAAACTACTTTAAATTACCTTTTTTCCACATCAATCTACACTCCATACACCATAATGGTAAAGCAAAAAAACAGTTTTTTAACATCTTTGCAAATTTATTACAAATAAAAAACGATTCTATTGCATAAGTATTCATACCCTTACATGGGACAGTTGAAATTTAGCTCAGGAGCATTCATATTGCTTGTAGATGTTACTACACTTCAAGTGAAGTTAACCTGTGGCAAATTCAATTGAATGGGCATGATTTGGAAAGCCACACACGTCTTAATAAACGGTCTAGCAGCTGATAATGCATATCAGAGCAAAAATCAAGCACTGAGGTCAAAAGAACTGCCTGTAGAGCTCAGAAACAGGTTTGTGTCAAGCCACACATCTGATTTTCAGCGGCAGGGACCGAGGGACTCGTCAGAGTAGAAGGAACACTCAGTGCAGCAAAATATAGAGATAGCCTTAATGAAAACCCAGTCCAGAGCATTCAGAACCTTGGACTGAGCAGAAGGTTCACCTTCCAACAGAACAATAACCCTAAGCACACAGCAAGAGTGGCTTATAGACAACTCTGTGAATGTCCCTGAGCGGCCTAGCCAGGGCCTGGGATTGAACCCAGTCAAATATTTCTGGAGAAACCTGAAAATGTGCATCTGCCCCCAACCAACCTGACAGAGCTTGAGATGAGGTCAAGAATGGCAGATAATTGCCAAATGCTGATGTGCAAAGCTTGTCGCATCATACCCAAAAAGACTTGAGACTGTTAAGGTTCTTCAGCTAAATATTTAGTTATACTTATGCAATGTACTTTTTTCAGTTTTTTATTTTTTAATCAATTTACGAAGTTGTGACAATTCTGTTTTTGCTACATTATGGTGTATGGAGTGTAGATTGATGTGGGAAAAAAAAGTAATTTAAAGCAGTTTAACATAAGGCAGCAACATAACAAAATGTGAAAAAAAATGAAGGGGTATGAATACTTTCACAATGCACTGCTTTTCACAGCTTTTCCTTTTCTCTGAAATTTTACGCAGACGCACTTTCACCCCTTTGCGGACTGCAATTTGAAAACATCTCCTGGACAACTAAGATGAATTCCTTGTGCAATCTAACTTGGACAATAATCTCTAACCTTATTTTAACATTAAACAACAGATGAGCCATATTCACAAAGGTAGCTTCATCAGCATCAAAACAAAACTTTAAACGTAGAGTGTTTGATTTGTTTGGAAACACTTTACCCGTGAGAAAGCTGACCAGTAGTCCAACCACCACAACAGTGGCAGAATTATGAGCACTGTACCACATGTATGATAAAGAGTACAGAGCCTGAACTCCAGAAGGCCTGAAAATACAAGACGACAGAATAAATGGGCCAGTTTATTCTGTAATATAGCTTTCATTTAGAAAAGGCTTTATGAACTGTCTTACTTTTCAGGCTCAAATGAGACCAATCGTTGTTTTTATGCAACTGCCTTCTGGTTATGACTAATTTGTACGATTAGTCTAAGAAGTTTATGCAACTGTTGCCACAGAAGTTAAACAAACTGATTTCTGCTTGGTCTGAAGTAATTAAGCATTTTAGAGAACTACTTTCTTAAAAATATGCACCTGGGTTTAGATGTGATGAGCGTCGTCATGACAGCTGTTGTCATGTTTCCTACATCAGGTATGACGGTGGCATTTATCACAGGTGGTGCAGATGCAGACATTCGTGAAAGAAAGCTGCCGATACCGATCCAGAAAGCCATGACCAGCCCTGATAGCAGCCCAACCAGAGCACCCTGAAAACACACTCAGTCCATGAAATGAAATCATACCATGAAATTATCTACCGAATTCCACTGGATGCATTAGTGACAAGATACTTACTAAAAATATATATTTACAAAACTTACAAAACTTTTTCTTAAAAACGTTCTTAAAAATCAGCATGGATGAATTAAATTGACCAAAAGTGTTTTCTGAAGGATCATGTGACACTGAAGACTTGAGTAATTTTCAGTAAAATTCAGCTCTATTTTAAAATATATTAGAAGAAAATAGAGAAGTTACAAAATATTTCATAATATTACTTTATTTCTAATATTTACTGTACTTTGATCCAATAAATACAGCCTTGGTGAGCATAAGAGACTTATGAAACAAAAAACAATCTGACCCCAATCTTTTGAACAGTTGTGTATTTATGTGGATGCTTTGTTTGACTTACAGTGGAATTGGCCCAAGGGAAAAACATCCCGAGACAGAAAAGGCCAAGAAGAGGTCCCCCCACCATTCCAAATAT